ACAAACGTGTGGACGAGAGCAAAAAGCTCCATCAAGAATCTTCCCTTTCTCCCTGCTTTGGTTTATTTTCGTGGCACTTTTGGAAGTTTCTCAGATAGAAGTTGTTGCATCTCTGCTCTATCATACTGTTGTGATTACTGGCTGGGGAATCACCTTGGTCTTCCTTTACCTTATGGCAGAATGCACACGCTGTATTTCAGGACTGGGAGATGCTGGGATGGCAGCTGAATCAACTCTTGACTCTGCTAATGCCTTCTGATGAAAAGGTATTATTTCATTAAGTTCTATTACTATAATTGCATTAATAAAACATTTTTTAAAAGAGCATTAACAAAGGAGAAGGAGGTGCTGCTATTCCAAAGCTGAGCTTTTCATAATGAGCTGAGAATTAGTATACAAGAATGCCATGTTTATAGAGTCCCTCATTCATTTTGGATTCTGATTACAACCCGACGATCCCTGCGAGAGCTGCAATCCCTACTGTGCAAAGTGCTGCTCAAGAAGACATCAAGTCAGCAAGATACAGGAGCCTGGCTGGAGGATTACGGGTGATTTGCAGACAGAGATACATTGGAAGGAAACACGAGAAAGAAAAATAAAGGAGAACTCCAGGAGTGAAGCCCGGGCTCTTTTCAAGTCAGCAGAGATTCTGTCCTAGAATAAAGCTAAAATTTGCCCTTTCCCTTTTTTCCCTACACAGTGAGATGGCCTGCCCTTGGGCAATGAGCTCTCTCACCCCTCCACACCCGTGCTTGATGCAAGGCAAAACCATTCAGGCATCACATAGGGGCTTTTTGAGCAAGGATTGGCTGGGAGGGGAGCAGTGAAGGGGGGAGATAACAAGGAGGTGCAGCCTGGGAAAGGCCAGCAGCAGAGAGGCAGCAGCAGAAGTTAAGCCAATGGTTGCAAGAAACTGCAGTTTTGTGTTTGGCAGAAGGAAGAAGCACTCAATAAATGTGCTTGATCTTCAGACCTGCTTCCAAGACCAAGTTCATAACTGCAGGTTGAAGGGAGCTGTTCTTCAGACAGAAATGTTACCAAGCTGGCAAAGCTGGGATGCCCAGAGCTCCTCCTTCCCCACCCAAAGGAAACTCACCTGAAGGGAAATGGAGAAATTCTACTACCTGTGGCTACAAGATTTCTGCTGGTGACTTTGAGGATGGCACCACGCTACAGTAAGCCATGTCACCAGCAGCATCTGCTGAGACAAAGAGCAAGTTCCCACCTGCATGGCCCAAAATTAAGAGAATGCTTCAAGATGCCAGCTTGGCAATCTCTTAGGAACTCAACGCCTGCTTCCCAGCAGTGGCACTCAGCCATGTATTCACAAAAGTCTACGGATGGTTAGGCTGGATATGAGGGTGTGGGAGACTAGGACGTGATTGCAGACTTTGCAAATGGACAAACTAAGAATTTCCCAAAGGCTGTGCCTACAAATGTACCTTCACCCAGGCCATAAATTGCATTTATTAATCCGGGTAGGCACACGCTTTTCTGGCAGTAAGTTATGCAGCTGAGCAAAAACTAATCAGCACTTAGGAAAGCTGTTGTCTCACTGACATTTGCACGATTTCTCCATCAGCTGCCAGCGAACATTCATCACGCTGGCGGGACGCTGTCTCCTTTACTTTACATAAGCTGCTGTCTGGGAAGATTCATTTAACACCCAGCCATGTGCACTCCCAATAGCCAAGACTGCTCTCAGGTTTGCTATTTGCTTGTTTTTTCTCTCTGGAAGAAAGGGGAGGGCTGGCAACCTTGCTGCAAGCAAGTGCAGAGCTCTTGGGACTTGGACCTTAACCTGCAGGGTGGAAATCAAAACTCAAGCAGGCTGCAAAGTGACCCCATGAGTGACCACCAGTTTCCTCTGGGGAAAACAGACACAGTGCCTGAGACTTGCAGCATCCTTCACACTGACCCCTGGACTGCCATCACCCCATGATTGCTCTGGGAAGGACTGCAGGAGACCTACGAGAGCAGATTTGAGGCCAGCAAGGAGAGAAGTGAAAAATGAGATTGGGAAAGACATCACCATAAAAGCAACCAGCCCTGCAGCCTTGGCTGGGGGCATGGATGAGTCCCAGGCAAACAGAGGGGATGGGACAGAGGTTCCATCCAGGCAGCTGGAGCCCAAAGACCTCAGAGATCTCCTAGGATCCATCACAGGGCTATGAAGATCCTACATGGGGTTACTAAACCATCTGCAAGGGACATGAGGTTTTACAAAGCATGCAGAGAGACTCCTAATGGGTTTAGATTTACAACTGAACTTCAGTTTAGCATTTCATCGGTACGTGTTAATGATTTAGGGGCACAAGCATAAACATTTGGACAGCTGTCTCAGCTGGATGGCTTGTTGTCGTGTTTATATTTTGTGCTTACGATCGCTGTGAGTCAGAAAGATTAGAGGTACAAAATCAGCCCACTAGAAAAAAAACACAAACAACCTAATTCTTTAAGAAACGGGTCTTTAGAAGTACTCTTTTACCCTGAGATAGTCACAGCTCCTGACAGTGGTAAGAAAATAAAAAGATTAAATTGCATTCGGATTTTTCATCCTAAGCCTAAATAGAAACCCAAAAACAAGATGGGAAAATTCTCCCAAATGGAAACCTCTCACCAATTCTGATTTCCCAGTGAAAACCAATTTCCTTGAGAAAATAATAATCCTAATATGTGCAGAGATCAAGCAGCTGAAATTTGTACATGATGAGTCAGCCCTGGTGACAGTAATAGAGCAAGTGCGAATATTTGTATGCAGACACACATGCTGAAAGACACTTGCAAAAGGTTTTCAAATGAAAGCTCTAATGGGCTGCCCAGGGAGTGGTGGAGTCACTGCCCCTGGAGGTGCTCAAGACACGTTTAGATGTTGTACTAAGGGACATGGTTTAGTGGGAAATATTGGAGGTATGAGGATGGTTGGACTGGGTGATCTCGGAGGGCTTTTCCAACCTTGGTGATTCTATGACACCACTGGCTCCACTTCCATTGAAAGCAGCCTGGTTTTGAGTTGGAATGACTGGAGAAAGCCTCTCTTCCTTGGCAAAGACAGAGGTCAGTGCGTGAGGAATGGACTTCAGAAAGTTTGCAGACCCTATAAATCCAGCAGGATGAGAGAAGAGCAGAGTTCAGATCCTCTAAAAGCTATGGACTGCTCAGGATTTCTTCTAGAAAGTTGTCTGACAAAATCTTGGTTCTGTTGAAGCAAACAGCAAAATAACCCAATGCTTCAACAAAGTCGGCATTTTCCTTCAGAGCAGCAATTTTCTGAATCTTGGAAGCTCTTTGTTCTTTTTTTCATATTTCTTTTTCCCCAAAACACCCCTGGAAGTGCACACTGATTTTCCACTGCCTGAATCTCTAAGAGAAGCAAGAGTTACTTACTCTAGTAAACACCTAGATTCCCCCCAAAATCAGCTTCTGCCCTGTTGCACAAAGCACTGGGTTCTCTGTAAACACAGGTTGAGATCAAGAGCTTGACCATGAATGGATCAAAGCTGAAGGATCCCACATTAGTCCCAGACTGGGTGGGCCACCACCTACTCTGCCTTTTTCTGAGGATACTGGAGCTTTGCTCCCACATGACACCCTGCAGTTGTTGAACACAACAAGCAGCCTTCCTCCATAAATTCCACTTCTCTACTTCTTAATCCTTTACCAGGTGGGATTACTTCTTTCCTAAAATCCCCTCCAAAACAACTCCTTGCAACTTTTCCAATCGTATGCCAGCGTGGTGGGATGGGAGACCACTGGAGAACAATGTTTGTGGGATGAAACTAGGACAGCTTTTATAGGACAAGAAGAAATTGTGATTTAAGCAGCTCACAAGATCAGCATCATCATGCTCCTCTGCAAAGCAGAGAACAAGATGAGCAGAATGGCTCTTGTGGATATGATCCTCATGGATCTGTTTTGCCATGTTGCATGGCCAAGACAATCTAGAGCCTTAAACAAGACTTAAACAAGTCTTCTCCTATTCATCTGCAGATTCCAGCTGCAGATGGATAGGAAAGATGAATGTAAACTACGCATGATATATGAAAGAAACTAAATATTACCTTCACTGAAAATGCCAAAAAATAGCTGGGAAAAAGGGAATTGCAATCTATGCTACAAGAACTTGTGCAGTACTGAGATTTATATGGAAGCACTTTCATTGTCAGAGAAGAAAACACACTGGCAAGTGTATAATGAGATTGGGCATGTAGCCACAAAGAGTTATAGGCTGCTGTTAATTAAGGAGGTATGAATTTTAATGCCATGTGACCAGGGAGAACAAACTTGTGTATACCTGTTGCCTTTACGGACCCCATTCTTCATTGAGACATGCTGTTTTCCTTAGTAGAATTGAAAACATGTAATCAAACTTCTAAGAATAAGAGGTACAGGTTGTGTAAAGGCTTTTGAAAATCTGGTCTTATTTTCACAACACGTTCCCAAAGGGTTTCTTCACAACTTTTCTAACAGGAACTCTACTGTTGTAACTGAGCCCCCTGCTTCTCAGTACTTCAGATGGTCATCTTACTATAAATTAATATTTTGCCATTCTGAACAGCCTTACCACACTTGCAATGAAAACATTCCACACAGCCTGCAACCTACCTGCATTCTCATACAGTTATGAGCAACAATTCTCAGTACCGTATCATCATACTCTGTTATCCAAATTGGAAAAGGGGTTATGAAAGAGCACCCAGTATTGATTTACCACTACTTTTACAGACTCCCCTGGTAGGCCAGTTCATGCTGTGAGCAGCCAGGGAAGTCGTCCAGCATCACAGCTTCAGAGGATCAGCATTTTGTTTGGGGACTTCTGGCTGAACTGAGTGCATGTGAGGGGGAAGGTGGCACCTTTTGCATTAGCCTGACCTCCATCACAGATGAAAAGATCTCTGCTATCAGCAGCAAGCAAATACTGAGTGCCTTTGAGAGTCCCCAGCAAGCCTTCTATCACACTAATATAAAAACTTGGGAAAAAAAAAAAAAGTGTTCCATACCTTAAATTCCTCCAATATTTTGTAATTTTTTCCATGATATTCACAAAAGTTTTTCACTTCCTTGCATTCTGGACAGCATCCATTGTGTTCCACTTTTGTACACTTTGGGTGGATTTTAGGGCATTCGGGTTGATCGCAAACAGGTCCATCCTCAGTACAAACGCAGGGACAGTTGGAATGCCCCGGGAAAAAGCGTTCTCCCAGTTTGTACACAAAGCCACTGTCATCCACGCAACCCTTCCCTCGGTAGTCATCAAAGATCAGATTGTCATTGCTGGAGGTCTGGTCCCCTTCATCGGCGGGGTAATCTTCGTGGTTGATGGCAGCCGGCGTGACCAAGCCAGGGATTACAAACAGCAGTATCCAGGCTTCATGGATATGAAGAGCCATCCCCCTCCTCAGCTTCTCCATGGGATCTCACGGCCGGATAGAAACAGCTGCTTCCATAAGGAGACCAGTGTTGTGGTCTGAAAGCAAACAATTTGAAGTGAGAACTCAAAGTATTAAGGAACATCAACTAATAAGGGCTATACCTTCAACCAGCCTGAAAGAATAAATCAGTGCTTTCAAACTGTGCAGATAGCTATCACTGCTTCATTTGGAATAAGCCTCTCCTGAGTTATGTGTAATGAGAATAAAGCACATGAAATACATAAATTAGACACACTTCTGTAAGCGTATGCCCACAAAACATCTCTATACAAATGATGGCTCAGAGAATCACCTCATTTTTATTTCCCTCATGTGCAGAGTTTTCTGTTGCACCAGAAGTTACAGCAGCTGCCTGGAGTCGCATGGGGATGGACAGCCCGGAGGGATTTGAAGCCCAGCTTAAGCGTGGCCTTAACCTCCTGCTGTGGCCATCGTCCCTCTGTGTGGCACACAGCCCTCTTCATCAAACAGAGGGGGGCTGAAGAACAAGGGAAGCACACTCTGCAGGCAGATCTGCATCCAGCATAGAAGATGGAGCTGGATTATACGCGGTGCATGAGAGGTGGAGCAGCAGAGTTTCACATGCAGCATTTAGGAGGAGGAAGAGGGGCTGCCTGCTCCGCCAGCAGCAGGTCTGTATGATCCTGACTGAACACACGAGGCACGATTCTCCTCCAGTATTCAGCATTCCAGTGCTTCCCCGGGAGAAACGCTGAGAGCAGGATGCTAAATGCCTGTGTGGTGTGCAGAGCTGCTGAATCGTGGCTGGAACCTCACTATAAAACTTCGGGAGCGCCGCAGCACAGCCCGACCTCGCCGTGCTCAGCTCCGCAGAGGGAGAAAGAAGCTTTGCCTGACCCCAGGGCTGAGCTCGGAGTGAGGCTCTGTGCATCCCTGGGTGTGTGATTGGTTGCCTGCCGTGCCACATCACCGCCCGGCCCCGCGAGCAGCAGCTGTGCCGTGGGTTCTGACCCCTCCAGGGAGGACCGGGCAAAGTGCCGCAGCAAACTTTTCAGTGAGATAAGATGTTAGCTCTGTATTGAGGAGGGGAAGCACTCACCAAGCACGGCTCATCTGCGGGCAGGCAGACGCACAGCGCACAACGCGCATCGCCTACACAGCCAAGCATGCCCCCCTCCACCCCCGGGGGGTATTCCTTCAGCACTGGGATTTTAGACGAGCTGCAGATGTTGAGCCAATTCGTTCTCATTAGCTGAAGGAAAGCAGCAGTGGCGGCAAGCTTTACTCCTGGAGAAGCAGTTGAGGGATCCTGTTGACAAAGCAGTTTTTCCAAAGCCACAACAGAGGGAGACACCGGATATTACACAAGCTTTATCAAATTCAAAAGATATCTTCTTAATTGAAGTGCTAGCTGCATTCCCAGCACAAGGAGCCTCTTACACCTGCCAGCAGCACCTATTGTAACATGCTGTTTGGGATTCGGGAGGTTCACGTTGCTTTAGCCAGCTCCAAAGTGGATGCCTACCAAAATGCTACAGGTAGGTTGCAATACTGCAGATTGGTGGATATTTAGGAAACAAACAAACAAACAAACAAACAAACAAACACAACAAAGCAGGAGAAAATGAAGTAATTCACGTCTGGGGAAACATGAAACAATGGAGAGAAGGCGCTGAAGTTTGAGGAGGGAGCTCTGCAAATTAAAAACCGAAAGTTCTCTGAAGCTCATAAATAAGAGCACAGTGCTTCCTACAGCCCGTGGCCATCCGAGCTGTCCCACAGCAACTGCCAGGCAGAGATCAGACAGACTGCAGGCAGCTCGCACCGACAGACTGCAACAAGTAAACAAGCGCCGCTCTGCTCGCAATTAGTTTACAGCCCAACTTTCTCATCATTTCTCATCAGGAGAGGGGCCAGGACCATCGCTAAGTGCCTGACTAAAACGCTTCCATCCACCTTCCCTCGCCCCGAGTGAATAATTCACACTTACCTAATCAGGCTCGGTCTGAAAGCCGCGAGGGGTCACAGGCCAACATGGACTAAAAGGTTAGACAAAAATTAGTGAAAGCAGTTCCTCCTAATCACATTTTCAGCGTTGACTCATGGACAATCCCTTCTCCTCCACCTCCCATCGCAAAACGCAGGAAAGCAGCAGCCCAGCAACCACGGCATGAGAATTAAGCTTTCACCCGGCGCCGAGGATTCAGAGCGAGCAGCGGCGCGGCGCTCCGGAGGCAGGGATGCCGTGGAGAAACCCCGATGCCAGCAGCACAGTCATCGCGGAGAACTTGGGCTGGATTTCCTCAGGTCTCAAGTGGAGGGTAGGGAGACGGAGAGGAGGGGGGGGGAGTGGGAAGGAGGAAAAAAACACAACAACAGAGAGATCCCCTCCCTATGCCCAGCGGGTATCTTGCAGTGCAGGATTTGCCACAGCCGGGGAAGGAGGGGGGAGAAGCGGGGCGCGGGGGCTGGCGAGGCGGCGGGCAGGCAGAGGGAGGGCAGAGGAGCCCAGCGCCCGGCGGGCCCCGCTCCCCTGCGGGGACTCCCCAGCCCTGGGGATGGGCATGGCTGCCCCACCCCCTATTAGTGATAATAATAATAATTAATTTTTCAAAAAAAAAAGAAAAAGAAAAAAAAAAAAAGAAAAAAAATTTCTTTTTTTGGAGGGCGGGTGGGAAATAAAAAGGAAAAAATAAAAAGAGGGAATGGGGAAAAAAAAAAAAAAAAAAAGAGGAATCCAGCTGCGGGGAGAGGCACGCAGCCCTGCGGTGATCCCACTGCTGTCAGTGCTGCGCTCCCCAACTCGGCCTCCTTCCTGCCCCGGCGGCGGCCCGAGCGGTTGCTGCATCCAAAATCCCACCTTGCTGCATTATTAAAACTTCCCGTCTTCCCGCAGGCTGGAACTGGGGAGCCGTGCGCTGGTGGCTCCGCTGCGATACGCTCACAATCGATCTCCCTGCAATTCGGCTGCTCTGTCATTAGGCGTCATCGTAAAGCTATTTCTGCCCGAGCGACCGAATGAGGGATGCTGGATGCTGGGGAAAACAGCGTAAAGAAAGCCAAACCGGGGCTTTTATTGGGTTAAAACGCAGGGTAACACTCCTCTAGAGCAACTATGCCCCTTGCAAACGTTAACTACGGAAACGCTTTGCTAAGCCCTCTCTGCTACGCTGTTCTTTCCACGGAACGCCTTCAGGTTCATCCTTAGGTCCAGAGACAGACAGTGCCGTCGGCAGCCCCCGAGAGCAGCTGCTCCACCGGGCGATGGAAGGCCACGCTCTGCACTTCTGTCTCACCGTGACCCCGCAGGCTATGGAGCTGGGCCAGCCCAGGCTGCACAATCTTCACAGCCCCATCGCTGCTCGCCACGGCCAAGGTGTGACCTGGAATGGAAACACAGAGCAATGTCAGAGGGTTTGGCAAGGGCAGAGGTGCTGGGAGTTTGGAGCTGGCGGTGTAAAGATGAACCACGTCTTGCGTGCCCCCGTTTGCTGAGATAAACGATGGGAAAGTTGAGTAGATCAATGATAATGAGATTGGATTCAGAGTGATTAAGTGAATCTGGAGACCTGGGTATGCTAGTCATTAAGGGCACAGCTATTCCACTTGGGTGCAATTATTTAGGGCCAGATTCTGACTTGCAGGCTGAGCAGCAGAGAAGCAGATGCTCCGCTGATAGCTGGAGGTATCAGAATCACGCTGTTACTCTTCTTGGACAGAACTGCCCTAAAGGAAAGGGCAGTTCTCAGCCAAACTGCAGAGAGGTTGGGCACCCAACTGAACCGAATGCCCCACTCGCTCAGAGCCTTATGGAAAAGCCTTACGACAGAACTAAAGCTAACTAGGTCAAAAAGCTTCTAAAGAGTCTCCAGTTTCCATGTTCTTATTGACAAACCAGACAAACCCAGGTTTCATCACTCCCAATGATGCAGAAAGTCAGTTGTCCTCCTACTTTAATACCAGCATGGGTACCAGGTGGAAAGCGACGTGTTTAGCACATTTATTTACCCTGCTGTCAGATACAGGCTCCCTCCTTTTGGAAACTAACTGTAATAGTCATGAGTGCCACATACAAAAAAAATTATATATATATATATATATAAATAAATTAAAAAAAAATCAAAGAAAAAAAAGAAAGGATTGACACATTCATTTCAGAATGCTGATGTGGTCCTCCCAGCAAAGAGATCCAGTCATGACCTTGGCCAAATGCCTTGTTCTGTTGGGAGCATGTTCAATATACCCTTCAAATGATTACAGCTCTGTTCATGTATCAATATTTTCCTTCTGAAAGCAAAGGCATCACCAGCAGAGGAATAACTATTGACACTGACAAAGTCAATTGGATACTAAGGCCATCATTTTGGGGAAGATTATGAAAAACGGGAGAGATTTGGGCCATTCTAGTCATGCAAGGAATTCACCAAAAAGCCAGTGAGAACCTATCACCCATCAGAAGTTAGTGGGGAAGAATCTGACCTCCCAGCCTGAATCCCATGCAAGCCATGGTGTTGGCTGTGACCATACATGTTGTTCATCCAGGAATCACATCGTCCTTCCACTCAGCCTAATTCACAACCATGATGGTCACATTGGCTCACTTGACAACCTGGGAAGCAAACCAATGCCACTTCTCCATCTCTCAAAGGAAACACAAGCCTAAAGCTGCTCACAAATGCGTTGAGAACACTTAATCACATGTTATGCTTAGTGTAGTCATGGATGCCTGTGCAGGAAAGGCAAATGGAAGGTAGAGCTAACCATGATAAATATGCCCTATTTGCAAACCTTTACAACTACCCAGTTTCCTCATCTAGAACAAAGCCTGACACAGCAAAGATCTGTAGGATGGATTAGAGTGTCCAAAGCAGCAGATGTGAATATTTATTACAAACTCTCTTCCAGGAAGTCTTTGCTGACAGAAGCACTGCATATGGATTTCACTTGCAGCCAGGCTCTCCAGGCAGTCGCTGGGATGACTTCTCCAGGAGCCAAATAAATGCCATTTTGCCTGGAGCCCTGACACTGCAACAGCTGGGCAGGGGGTTAATGTCACTTTCAGCTCCTCAAAGCCATAACGAAGTGCTTGTTAAAAACAGAGAAGGACAGGAGGGAGACAAAAATAACAGGAAGGCTTGGACAACAGCAGCTTACCAGTAGCTTATGAGGTGCAACAGCAAATGGCACATGTCCCCATGCCAGGGAAAGGGCTTGGGTGAACAGGGCAGCCCTGGGGAGGAGTAGTGTCTCACCTCCCATACATTTGGTGCCTACCACCCTGTGATGCACTGCTGCTCTGGCTACGAGCACAGCAACTCCTTGCTCTGAAGCAGAAGGATGCACTGCAAATACAGGCAGACAGGGGAGAGGAATGCACCAAATGATCGTGTTCCAACACCCATTGTGTCACTGCTGATCTACGCACCCATAACGCTTTGCTCATTATAATGTAAATTTACTCCCCCTTTCCTTCCAAAAGGAGATATTTCTTTTTGGGAACAAATTGTGTTTTATTGCTCTTTCAAGACGTTCTCCAATTAGGAAGCCAAACAAAATCTATTACATAATTGTCATGCGAAGCCCTGTTTTGATGAAGGACGCTTCCTCATGCACTAACAAAGGCACTTTGATATAATACTCAGAGCAAGACAAAAGCCTGGAGATAACTGTTCCTTCATACACCTTCGGGTATATTGTCAGGTGGGGCAGGTCTGTGCAAATCCACTGCGCTCAGCAGGTAATGCAGAACTGCATCAAAATGAACAGTTTCTGATTGGAAGATGCAGAGCACCTCCAGATCAGAAACTCAAGGTTGCAAAGATGTCCAGCTCATCAAAGCCGCTGCAGATCTGCTGCTACAGCCACAGACCAGCAACATGGGGAGCTAAACCCAAGCTCCAGCCCTGAGCTCATTCTTCCTCCTCCACCTGGCAGCAGGAGTGATGACAGAGCACACTGCCATGCCAAAGAGACCCTACGGTAGCAGCCCTTGTAGTAATTACACCTAATCTGTTGTTGCCCGTTGCTAGAACAGAGGTACTAATTTTTCTGATGTACCCCTATTACGTCCTTAGAATAACATAAGCTCTGACCATCTGGTCATTTGCTCCAAAAAGCATGCACTGAGTTAGAAAAGGTAGAGAGAAAAGCAGCAGAAGCACCAGAAGGTCTAAACGACTGTGCAAGCAGTCGCGAAAAGGGATGCTGACTTACCCCAGCAAAAATATTTGTGTGCTAAAAAATATTTGGCTGTTCATCTTTTCTCTCTATGTACACTTGCACTGCAGTCAAGCCCAGGATGCCGCTATGTTTCCCTTTTAGGGATCCATAAAGAAATCAATTCCTGAGCCACCTACAGGGTTTAGTAGTCCAAACTGTCACCCACATGGCACGGACAAACTGCTGTCTGTTTTGGTCCCTTCCCACCCAAACTATTCTATGTTTCTACGAATCTCACCCCACCTGCAAGCTGTGATGCAGCCCATGAAGCCACCAGCAAATGGGATGTGGTATTTCTGCACATACCTTTTGGGATACAACTGAATTTCCCAAGTGGCCAGTGCCTCTTGGCTCCTTTTGCTTCCAGCACTACAGCAAGCTCCTGCTGCACATCTCCAGTCCCAGCACCCCCCAGAGAACAGGCTCTGTTCCCAGCACCACACGTTACCTGGCCAGGCTGCCACCTCCAGCCTGGCAGTGCCCTTTGCTTTGGGCATTGATGAATTCCTAAAGCAGTTCTGCTCTTTGAGCTGGAAAAATATTTGTGCCTCATAAATGCAATCGAAGTCACCCGTGCCCTTTTATTCCTGGTACTAAAGACATATCTCAACATTGTTATGAGAACAGAAGTGGACCTTAAAATCAATTAGCACCTATGTTGCTACATAAATACTATCAAAGCTAAAGCCACATATGTAGATACAATACAAAACCCGTCTTCTAATTTGAACTGGGAACTAAATTTAAAATAGTGCTGGTACATTGAAGCAATGGAATTGGTGACTGCGTTTCTTCAGAACACAAAATTAATTTGCTGGGTTGATAGAACCAAATTACCTGGGGTAGAGAGAACAAGACCTGCACTTGTCAAAAGACAGCCTGACAATTTATATTCCATAAGGTCCTAATAGAAATCACAGCCCCAATTACTGTCCTCTTTGTAAAATGAATTTTGAATGAAACCTTGCCAATTCAGTAGTGCTTTGCTGGAGACAGCGACACCTCTGGGTTGGGAAGGCAGAAAAAGAAGGTCAGGTTGTAGGCACTGGGCTCCTCTACCAATAAATGCTGTTGGCCAAAGTCTTCAGATTTCACCTTCACACCACTGCAGCTGGGTTACCCAACAGAGGGATGCTCTTGTTCAGATACAGAGCAGAACAAGGAAAGAGAAAGGGAGAGAAATCACCTGCATGTAGCAGCAGCAGTGACACCCAGAGTAAGGGATGCTGGATTTGGGCAATTGCTTCCAATGCAATCATGGCCACTATTTTTAGGCTTTATCGTAGATAATTCAGACGTAGTGACTCTGCCAATTCAAAAATACTTAGGCTGCCTAACTGTAAGCAAAGCATTCATCTTCAAAGACGCAAAGCCCAGTTATTTCTTGAGTCATTAAAATTATGATCTCGCACAGATTTAAGACATTCTGTTTAACATAACTGCATAGAGAAGCCTGGGACCATTACTGACGGCAGAGATGAAATAATGTATCAAAGAATGAAAGAAAGAAAAGCTGTGATCAATAGGGAAATGATTTTTATACACATCAGAACCAATTTAAAGAATTCTCTAGGATCAATTTAGATAGACAGAAATGCTTCTCAGCATTTATTACCTGTGGAGGGAATATTGATCCCATTCATTGATTTCTCCTATGTGCATAGAGCAGCATCTGGTTTTGGTTCTGGTTTTTGTTTTGAAAAGAAAGATGCCCCAAAATGGAAAGTATCAAGAAACGACTTAAGGACTTTCATTAATGGTTCAACCAGCGTCATTACTCAGAACTTCTCAACTCCAGCCCAGAAAAGGCACATGATTGTTAGTCGATACAGAGCAAGGTTTTGCTGAAAGCATGCTCACCGAGGGCTACTAACTCCTTAGTTTTCTTCAAGGAATCTTTGCTCAGGATAATATTAGATATTATTATAATATTTGCACTCAGCCCTGCTGGATTACACGCTCCCTCTGCTCGAGGACCTTTAGTCATCAATGGAGCAGCAGCCACGTGCACTGAGAGTCACCCAGCCCAGGGGGTCTCAGAGGATCAGGGCACCTTCCTGGTGCCTGTAAAAGATACAACACCCCAGTCCCTGCCTCAAACAGTCTGCAGTCTAAGCTTAATTTAAAAAACAAAACAACCACCACAACAACAAATGCAGAAAAT